AATATTCGCCATTTGCAAATAATATTACGTAACGGATTCGAAATAAATTAAGTGAATATACCATATATCCACAATACGCAATTAATATCATTAGTAGATGTTAAAATTGATAGAAGTTAAAATTAACTATGAAGTTACTTATCAAAGTYTCAAAAAGACACGAAAAGATTGCCAGAGCCCTGYTTGCCGGCTTAACCCGTTACCACCTCTCACGGACGAGGACGTAGGGTTGGACTTTGAGAGGCGCCATAAATCTATAGTGTTAAAATAATTCGAATCTGAGTCAATTACACAGATATACCATATCTATAGTGCGCAAATAATATGAATCTTATTTACGATGAATCACATAAATATACCATATCTATAGCCGCAAACAAAACGAATCGAAACGAATCTACAGTGCACAAAAAACATTATAAATTGGGGTAAAGTTAAACCACGCAAATATACGTTGTCTACAGTGTGCAAATGAAATAGAGTGTAGGCATTTAACCCGTGAAATAAAAGATACTAGTCAACGTGTAATAGTCAAATAGGCACAACAGAGAGCATCGTGTTTATGTTTATCTCAACAGTGCGCAAATAATATTAGAAATAATATTGAAAATCATTAATTTTCTTAAATTCATAAACCTCCAATGTATTGCTACTATTGAATTTTCTCTTGTACCATGCACATGTGCAATCTTAAAAATACAGTAAAGCGTTAGGTGTTTTGTCAGTTGTGATAAAATATATTTAATATTTTTTGCAGATGACAAACCTGACTCTCAAAGACCTTAATTCTTAGCAATTAAAAGCTATTATTTTTTCACATTTCAATGGCGGGCTTTAGTTCTTAACTCCAGCTTTCTTAAAGTTTAAAGACAAAAAGAATCGGGAGTAAATACGGTTTTGGAAAAGAATTTTTTATTCACGTGGAAGTTCAAATTTGCCTCYACACAACACGTCTCGGAGAATTTCTCAACTTTTGAAGACAAAATACTAAAATAATTCGTTTGACCAACATGAAATGATTTAATCACAAAAATAGTTCTAGATGAAATGAGAAAATGTATTTTTATATTCATAAAACTTCAACGTAACAAAAAAGTAAGATAGTTCCCCTTACCTCATTGCTTCTATTGAACTTTCTCTTGAAGGAGTTGGTATCCTAAAAAAAAGGAAGTCAATAAAGTTAGCTGTTTTGTTGGATAAAATATGGTATTCCTTGCGGAAAAGAAGACTTTCATTAAAATAAGACGACTGTGCCGGCAAGACGCACTCTGTAGTAGTCGGCGCGTGACAATAAAACCTCAATCTTCAGCGATTAAAACAGTTCTCAATTTTTCTAATAGAAATTTTTGATTCCTAAGGTCAGCATAGCTCTTATATAAGTTTATTAAAAATATGAAATGCAAGTTATAAATACGTTTGGGAAAAGATTTTTCATTCTCAAAGTCATCCACGTGGTTCGCCTGCACACAACACATGCCTCATGCACAGTTTCTCAATTTCTTGAGACAAAACATGCAAATAATTTATCTAATCACAGCAAAATGCTTTAGGAGTTCATAAAAACAGTTYTAGATATGAAAATTATGTTTTTTGCCGTTTTTTGCGCCAAAAATTTTAGAATTTAATTGATAGAATTTGAAACGTAGTCCAAAACTACGACTAAATTGTAAGTCTTTATTCGCTTTTAAAGTGCTAAAAGTTAAAAAAATAATAATCTATAGCGCAAAATTCTTCTTTCTCTAGCGTATTTCTAAGGACACTGTTTCGTTCATCAATTTTTAGGTACGAATTCAGCTGTTTTATGATGAATAAAAGCATTGAACTTACCTCGTGGAAGTCTTGTCGCCGTCTGAATATTGCTAGTTTAGTTTAAAAAGCCCGCTAAATGCAAGCCATACCAATCAGCCAATAGGAAAACTGTTGTTGTGTAAGTAAACCAATAGAAAAACGAGGTTTTATTGTCCACAGGTTTTGACGAAATAATCACGGGAAGCGGGAAAATGAGTGATCATTCATTTAAATAAATTATAAAACAGTAATAACAGTAATAATTCTGATCTGACCGAAATGTTTCTTAACAGACTTTTATCAATAAAATAGAAGAAGATGAGGAGTATAAATAGAACTCTTTACCTTCGGCCTAATTCTCTTAGAATAAGGCTTTTTGTTTGATGCACAACCATTAAACAAAGAAATGATACTGCAGAGAATGACACATAGTCTGAAATGGGAAAACAATACCCCCAAGGTAAAGAGGTATGTTGGTTGAATTGGAAAATAATAATGGAAAGATTAGCATAAATATAGCCATAGATAGGAATAGGAATAATAGGATATTTAATAAAATAGTTAATGAAAATAATAAAATAATAAAGTCTACTACTTTCCATGATCAAGCACAAAGCACTGAATCGAGAATTTAGGATTTAATAGTAATTGCCTTAAATATATTTCGCTTTCCTTTTTGATAGAAAGGACAATTTCAAAAAAATTGTAGTGTCTTCGAAATAAGTTCATTTTTAATTCTCATAAGAATTTTGAATTTCAATCACGACAAAACTCTTTAACTTTGGTCTAATGTTTTTCCATTTCAGGTGAGTATCATTTCTTTGTTTAACGATTAAAACAAAGAATCTTATTCTCAAGAGAATAATAAGTGGTCTGTTATGGAAAATATTTTGCCCAAGGAAAAGAGGTTTATTCATGCTCGAAATTGTTTAATATTGATGCAAAGAGTTTTTCCAATTTACCAATTTACCTTTTAAAAAATATATTGCCATCTTTTTCCCTTTATTTGGCTAAACTTGATTCTAAGAGAGGCAAAGTTGTGAGCATGTCAAGGATTATAAAGGCATCAACCGTTTCTTCACGCCCAGCAAGTATCACACAATTGAATAAATTACCCTATGAAAATAGCCCAATTGCAAAATATACTAATACTTTTTAAACGCGAACTGTGGAAGTCCAAATTTAAGGCACGTTAGATAAACGTTATCATTTTTACATCAATCTTCTAATCTCTTTTACTCATCACAATGATTTTAATAGCGCCATTGTAATATTGCCAAATTCTTGAAAAAGAAGGTAGATCGGAAAACCGTAATACGTGCTGGTACTCGTTCATTCTGTTTGTCACCTGCAACATACAATCATTAACGTCATGTGTTTGTACGCAAATATATCATTAGCAAATGTATACTGGGAAGTGAAAGATGTCGTGCGCTGCTAAATGCCGCCTCCTCGTACACGTCTGTGGTCATCGGGGCTTGATCTCCAGACCAGTTATTTAAGGTGACTGCCTTTTGAACGTTCGATTTGAGCCCACGATGTGCGCACGCTCAAATACCGCTGAAAAATCTACAAGATTTTATTGAAGAACCATACGCGTTTTGACCTTCAACAGGGCAAAACCCTCAAATTTTGCACGGGACTCTCTATTTTTTTAATAGCTCATTCGAAAAAACTCCTGAAAATCTAGGTTATATCAACATTTTAGAAAAAGTTTATATTTCTAACACATGAAAAAAATAGATTTTTGTAGGGATTTTTGTTCGACTTTATGAAATTTTTTTATGAGCACCGAAACTACAAAATATGACAAATCAATGTATCGCTTTGTCTCTTTGTCGAAAATATCCATGTATTATTGTAGAATGATTGACTAGCCTTCATTCGTGCAATCATATAGTCTGCAAATAACTATTATCTTATGAATCTTAATTTTTTTCTTATCACTTCCGGTGGCGCAAGTTTTGCTCCAAAAGCTCGCGCGTAGGCTTCCATTAAATGCTGATTATCTCGAAAACAAGCTCGGGACACCCAATTTTCCCCCCAAATTTGGAATCAGCATTAAATTTCAATTCGGAAATTCGAAGTTTTGAAAAAAGTTTAAATTGTTTCCCAAAAGTAGGCAGTCACCTTAAGTAGAGTTTGTAATTCAGTCTCCTGTGCTTTGAGGGATTTTGCTCTGGGTTCTCCTATTTTCTTCCCTAGACAAAAATCAACTTCTAAATTTAAATTCATTAATATTAGCTACCGGATTTTAAGGGCGATTTTTATCACTGTATTTCGCTCTATTTTTTAAAAAAAGATCAAATAAAAATAAAAAACTCAAGTACATAACTTGCTACATATCAATTTAAAAATGAATGTTTACCGATGTTATTTAATCATTAAATATAATTAAATTTCTAAGTTTTGAGGTATTTGTTTAATTAATAATTGATTATGTGAACGAGTTAATCGAGTTAAAATCGTCCAAAAAAACTAATTATCATGTTAGTTGCTTTGCATCGCTGAAGCGATAAAATTTTGTCTTTATTTGACAGTAAGGAAGTGAGAAATTAGGGTTTTTTTTCGGTAGAGGAAAGACTACTTGGTTAGAATCTTTAAGGTTCATCTTATACTTTCGTAACTGTGAACTTCCCTCGACTGTTGTGTTGGCAAACAAATACACTTCTTTACATTCACTTTAAACAAGTAATATCAGTATATATATAATGGCCAGTTGCCAATTTAATTATCAACATAGGCACTGCCACAAATAGTGCCTTTAAAGAACCGCCTTATGATAAACAAAATGCAGAACCTGATAAAAACTTTATGTTTCTATACGAAAACTAGCTCTAACTCTACCATTGGTCAGTTTTGTTTCCTGTGTCATTTTCTATAAGACTTAGTAAGTATGCTACCCCTATCTGCTTTAGCCGTTTTAACCAAGAGGTTCTTGAAGATTAGGCACCGGCAGATTTTCTCGTTTGAGCTGCGTACCACATTTTGGAGTCATCTTAAACCTATCATGACTAAACAAGTTTGGCTGTGACATTACGTGACTTATTTATCTGAACATATTTATCCGGCCTACGCACGCGTCCATTATGTACTGACGTCATTCCATACGTTAGGCTAGATTTTGGCTGGAACTAGTTTAGTGACATTTCCACCAAATTTAATTGCATTTCTACCTAATTAATATGTGAAACTTTTGTGAAGTCTACAGCATTTGTTTTTTTTGAGTAACGTATAAGTTTAATGACCATGTAGATAGCGCATGTATCAATATCAATATCAGTTATTAATTATTAATAATGCAATCAACTTCCTGTCTTTGCCTAATAACTTGGCTTCAACATTAATTGATAAAAGGACTCTCCTATTCTTTCCTTGGATCATAACTGCAGCAACTCTCGAGAGTGAAGAGCAGCCAAGAACGATGAAGTATTTGTTTGAGTTATTTGTTGTTGTCCTGTTGATACATGTCGAACACAGTACGAGCACGGAACAGAACAGTCCTGATCTTGTTCAACCAGAAAAAGGGCTCATTTTTGACAACTTTCCCGGCAATATACTTCTGCTACCAAATAATGTGAGCGTCGATGAAAGAACAACAATGGTTGCTAGCAAGATGGATTGTGTGTTCGCGTGTGTCGGAGTGCCTTGGTGTCGTTCAGTCAACTTCAAGATCACACCACAGGAAAACCAGCTTCACGCCTGTCAACTTCTGTCATTTGACAAACACACTCAACAGAACTACTTCAAACCAAACGAAACATTTACTCATCTGAGCATTAAGGTAAGACTAGTTTTATGTTGACACCATACAAATGTTGGTTTCCATAGAGATGGAATATAACTTTTCCAAAACATTAACATGGAGCAATTTTCTGTATAACTGTTGCGACACAAAGTGTAAGAGTGTTTACACGGGGCAACAGAGACGCAATCGATGCCAAAAGTAGAAAGGAATTAATAATAATAATAATAATAATAATAATAATAATAACAACAATATTTTATATAGTGTCAATATCCTGTAAAGCTCAACAACGCTTCACACTTCACTTCACGATAGTAAAAGAAAAACGCTAAAATTAACGGACAATGCAGTATACAGTATATTCATTCGACGATATAAAACACAACAATATATCTATAAAACAATGAATTTTTTTCAATTCATTCCATTAATTCATATTCAATTGATGCAATTTATGTACATTTGACAATTTAAAACACAACAATATATTTATGTTAATAAAATTTTAAAGAGGGAAGTAATATAAGAGATTAATTGATGTCATAATAAGCTGATTTAAAAAGGAACCTTTTAAGCTCACGCTTAAAACAAGAGATATCGTTACATGACCTCATATGTGTAGGAAGAATATTCCATAATTCAGGTGCAGCATACGAGAAAGCCCTTTTACCATAAGATTTAAGCTTAAAAGAACTTTTTGTTAAAAACTTGGAAGATTGAGATCTAAGCTGGCGAGCTGGAACACATGGTTTTACAAGATCCTTTATATAAGGGGGCGCATAACCATTTAAAGACTTCAAAGTAAGAAGAAGTATCTGGTAGTTGATTTGGTATTCCACAGGCAACCAGTGTAAGTTATAGAGAACCGGAGTTATATGATCTTACAGGACTTGCTTCAGACAAAGTACTATTTTCTAGGCAATGCGCTGTTGTTAACAAGATGCTGTTTTCTTCTAAACAGCAGTTTTTCAGTAGTGTTATCGCCGATAATGGAAATGACCAACGTGCTCTTTTTAAGATTGTGTCCGGGCTACTCCAGCCTAAACAAAGCTTACAGTATCCTCCTAGTTCTGACGACACCTGTCTGGCAAATTCTTTCATCCAAATGTTTTCTAATAAGATTGAGCGTATCAGACAGGACATTTTTAAAATTCTTCCTGTTCAGCCTCGATTCCAACCAGACCCTGTTAATTGTTCTTCTGTTTTTCAAAATTTCGACACTCTAGGCTATGATGAGGTTTCACATTTAGTTGGGTCCACAGCTAAGTCATGTAGCCTAGACCCTATTCCTGCTTCTCTTCTTATGGAATGTCTTGATCTTTTAATTCCAGTGTTTATGTTTATTCCCATGCATAGTACTGAGACAGCTTTGGTTCTAATTCATAACGACATCCTTCAATCTATTGATGATGGTAACTGTGTTATCCTTATTTTTCTTGATATGTCAGCTGCTTTTGATACTGTCGTTCATGATACTTTACTGGATAGACTTGCTAATCGGTTTGGTNGGGTACTCTAGCGCCTCGTCTGCTGCCACTCAAGCAGCGTATGGTCAGGGAACAGGGCCGATATGGATTGATGATACAGCATGTCTTGGTAACGAAGATTCTTTGTTGACTTGTGGATATCGTGGATGGATAAGTGGGAACGTAGGTTGTGGTCATAGTGAAGATTCTGGTGTCGTATGCAATTGATTTGCAGAATATCTCATAACTTACAGACTCGAATTAGAACTGTTTAATTCTGTTTGTGTTTGGTTTATTTTAGTTTCATAATTAGTATAAATCATTGAGGTGGAATACCTGTAAACTAGAGTCTTACTTTTAGCTAAGTGTATTTTTCCACGTTAAATAAAGTATGTATTTATGTATGTATGTATAAATCAAGTTTGAAACTTTCGTGAACTTTCAGTTTAAAACCTTGCCATTCCATCAGAAACTAACCAGGAAGTTTACAGTAGACAGACTAGCTATAGCTTTTAGTCTTAAATATGGATTTTGACAGATTGATCTCTCTGACTAGCAAACACTTAAAAACCTAAATTTGATTAACAACGCTATCTTATAAATAAATTAAAGTGTAAAGCCTCGTCTGACTATCAGTTATTACAACCAAGTCAAATAGTCCGGCTACCAATTGTTTAGAATTGATGACTGACTGCGTTACGCGCGTGAAAAAAGCTTTATATCAGTTTCATGGCCCCGTCCACACTATGCCGGATAAATTTGAATCCGAATTTTTATTTATTCGGTTAGGCCTACCGTCCACACTAGTCCAGGCGAATCCGGAACAATTCTTCACCGAAAACGAATTTTTTCGAATACGGTCTCCAGAGTGGAACATTTTAAAAAAAGGCTAGCCGTATTAGTGTGGACGGAGAACATTTCGTACCCGAAATTTTTCGAATACGATGACGTCATGATTGTCATGGGAACATGGCGGGAAGGCTAGCACATGCTCAGATGTGCAATGAAGCGTTTTTGCCGCCTCTGATCGGACTAGTGTGGACGCGAAACATTTTATCCGTTTTCATGTGTGGACGGAAAGCTTTTTTTTCGGTTTCGGTGTGAAAGTTGCAGATTCAAATTCATCCAGCATAGTGTGGACGGGGCCTAAGACAACTTTGTTGCTGGCAATTTCATTGATAGTTTCAGGCAGCTGCATTGAATACTTGGTAGCTGAACATAAATCACTATAAATAGCCCAGACTATTTCATTTCTTGTTTAAATTATGCCTTAAGAGCACCTATAAATACTTCATTATATACTAGGCTGCATGCTGCTGACAATAATATCAAGGCACCTGCAACTCATAAGAGAAATTCTGACCTTGAAACATTTGAAGTAAGTTCGACCAATCTCTGGAATTACCTCGCATAGAGCAGGTGCATGTTACGTCATCGCCGCCATCTTGGTTGACGATAACAAAGCATTCTTCATTAGATGGGGGGTGTTTGATTGTTATTCATATCTCAAGGGATTTTGAGTCAC